TTAACGACTGAACAACAAAAAGATGATAAACATCAATAGCAGATAAACAAGAACAATATAGATTGGGTTTCATTCTTCAAACATCTGGCCTAATATTTCAATCCTCTGAAATCAGGAACGAACAAATTAAATCTATTATAATAAGGCCAACAATAGTGTTAATGCCATACTTAAAAAACTAAAGAAAACACTAATGGAGGCAAATACATGCTTACTGCCATAAAACTCTTTAAAGCTAAATCCATCTCCCAATATTATACAGCTCCCAGGCATGTGCATATAATACCTTAAAGTTGTACTATCCAGACCAGATTCCTAACAGTGCTGTTTTGGGTATCTTGCTGCATTTAAAATGCAGCAATCTATTTAGAAATTGGGATAATCCTGCTGGAATTAAGTGTCCATACTTCCCAGCTGTACTTCTGGTTTAGGCTTCATTGTTCCAATGACTCCTTAGCAACCATGATCCTTTCTGACATTTTTTCCTCTTTCTGGAAAGTAGAATTCAGAATGAAGTATGCCAGTGTGGCTTCTTATGTCAAGCTCTGTTGGCAATGGGATTATTACAAGCAAGATCCACAATACACAAGCAAGTGTTCGATATAACTCTCCAAGTCCACTTTAATATATTGCCCTAAGGTATTAGAGGGAAGTTATAACAGTACCTGTTTTACAGAACGAACTTGCCCTTATAATTTGAGACTCTACCCCACTTGTTCCTTTGATGTCCTTTCTATAGCTACTTGTGCCTATCCTAATAAGCCTACTTGTTAACAGAGGCGTCACCTGACCTGAGGATGATTTTTTTCCCCAATATTCAGACTGGAAACTTTACATCTCTAGATGATTAACAAAATTTCTTACAGTTGTCTCAGCTTCACACAAAAAAATAAATATCTTAACTTTAGGGTTTTGTAACTATGCAAAAAATGTTATGCTTTTTATGTTGTTTTCTATTTTTATATCAAATGTGATTGGACAATGACTGCAATGAAGTTATACACTGTTTTTTATAACAGTAATTAGTTTGTTGTGATAATGCTGAAATACTTCTATCTTATTCTTAATAATTATTTCACCTAACATACAAAAAATAAAAATAAAATAAAAATAAAATTTAAAATAATTTAGAATTGTCCACAAGAGTTCAATTTTAAAGGAAACAGCATAAAAGAAAGAATGGCTGAAGAGGGCAACAATAACAATAATAAAAATATTATATTCTAACACCAATTATTAAAGTTCAATTGTTATGCCACTGAAATGGAAAAAGATGTGTGGAAGTTCCTATCACTCCTTCAACCCCAAATTACGAATGTATTGAAATAAAATTCTTAAAAATTCTTTAACTTTCAAAGAGTAGCCAACAGCTCCTTGGTTTCTATGATCACTAATTAATGTTACAGTGAATTTATACTGTTGAACTATATCTTCAAAAATTCTTTACTACTGGTTTATTTAGCTAGGGTTGTTAGAGTTGAGCTAATACCTGGAAGGCCACAGCTGGAACATTACTAGAACATGCACTACAATAAGTTAGCTTGTCACTAAAACATCTTTAATCATTAAATGTTACCTGATTACATTGAAAACAATGAGGGTCACACTGAGGGTTAATATGTAAATATAATTTATATATAATATGTAGCTTTGGATAATTTTCCTCAATAAATAAATAAACTATAATGTTTTTGACT